ATAATAATAATAATAATAATAATATTAATACTCTCCCTAATTCACCCCCTTACGAGTGAATTTTAAGCCCAAAAGCTGAGCTTGTGTGGGGAAAGGGACGGCTATTATTATTATTTGCCCTGGCGTTCCAAGGCGACTTAAAGACGATTGATAGTGCCATTTGACTTACAGGTGAGAAAAAATAAAATATTAGTTCATTTTTTGTTTTCAAAAACAATATATAATAAGATGAACAATCGTGAACAAGAACTTTCTTGTAATTCTACTTTAAATTTTTTGCTAAACAATAATCAAAATAGTACAAAATAAATAGCGAAAAGAAAAGCTCGGCCATAAGATTAATAAAAAGTACCTATTTAAAATAAATAACAGAACTCCTATTTTTAATTTTCATATTTTAAAAAAAAGACGTTGCTTCCATTTCGTCGCGATATGGTCGAAACATGCAAAGTTGATAAAATTGAGCGCTCTGTGAACTGAGCTAACAAGCTTGTCGCATAAATTATTCAATCAAATATATAAACAAAAAAAAATAACATTACCTTAAAATTGTTTTAATAATTTGTTAAAAATAATTATCTAGAATCTAGGTATAGAAATAAATATTCACGATTTAAATTTACTATCTTGTGGCATAATAAAAACTGCATATTATGCGTTAGTTGACTCTCATTTACGTTATGCTGTTCAGTTTTGGGGAGTCTGTTCTGCCGAATTATTTGGTAGTGTCTTTATAATGCAGAAACGGGCAATAAGGTTCTTATGTGGAGCACACAAATTAGTTTCATGTAGACCGCTGTTCTTAAAATAAGAAATATTAACATTACCTTCTTTATTTTTCTTAGAAACTTGTTGCATGATCCATAAGAACAAGTCGAAATATAAATCGAATATATCCCGTGTAACTCGCCAAACGGGTAACTTGAAGTTGCCTATTCCCAAAACTGAACTATTTGCCAATTACGGAAGCATCTCCATATCATGGGGCTGTCAGGATCCGTACTCTACAGAGGGCGCGAGCAAGAAGATGAGACCATCGAGCATATTCTTTACGATTGCTTGACGCTCTCATTTATTAGAAGATTTGTGTTCGGCGAGTATCGGCTAACCCGGCCGATATAAGAGAAGCACCTCTTGGCGAAGTTGTCAATTATATTAAATCTGTAGGCTGGCTCACGAGCTAGGAGGTGCCTATCATCTTAGGAGGATGCACAATGGGCCTAATAAGGCCTAAGTTCTGTGGAGGCAACCCACCCTCCACATGTTACAGATTACAGATGCCCTTAACGTTTGTACATTGTATTTGTTTTGTTAAAATAAATGTATAAATATAACAGTAGCTATCATTAATTAATATCAAACTAAACTACGATTTTTAAATGTTTACATACTTATGTATATCACTGGCAATTTCCACTAATCCAGTATCGGTTCTTTAGTTTAAATTTCTTTAAATTGAAACCATACATTTTTAAAATTGATTGCAAAAAAATGCTCAATATCAACGGTGACACACGGTATAGAAGTCATCCGAACCAAACTTATCACATACCAAAATCCTGAAAGTTGGCTTGGAAGCCAACGTGTTAAAAGCAAACGTCACACCATCAAGTTCTACTCATTCTCAAGCTAACAAATTTGTTTTTCGTCAACTTTTATTTAATATGATATATATGGAGCTAGAAGGTATATATGTACTAATTATATATACATATATAGGGTGCTAGAATGTATATATGTATAAACCATATATAAGGAGCCATTTAGTCAAATTAAGTGCGAAAAATTCCGGGTGCGAGAACGATTAAATAGTTTTTGGTGTGACATATGCAACATATGTCGTTTTGCATATATTCCTAGCTGTTCTCATGTTACATTCAAGAATTTGAAAGTGACTCATTAGTTGTTCAACCTGTTGAGAATAGGTAGAACTTTTCTTATTTCCAAAAAAATTTGAACAAGCCAAACATACTCATTCTCAATTTCTGTCATAGTGTCTGTAAATTTTGTGTCTTTTATTAATGATCTTATCTGTGGCCAATCGAAAATGCCCGCTTTTATCTTTTCTACACTTAAAATCATGTTACATAATTTATTCATTAGTCAAAAAGTGTAATTTTATTGGTCAGTGTTATTAATACCCTCTAATCAAGTATATTTCAACTCAAAGATATTTTTCCTAATGTTATTATAATATTAAAATAAAGCAGTTGAAACTTGTACCCCAAAATATTTAAAAAATACATCTTATTGTAACCTACCGCACCCAGGTACCTTAATAATTTATTATTTCCAATTATTAAATACAATATTACATTCTTTTAAATTCAAAATGCTACATTAAATGAAAAATCTCCCAGATAATTAAATCTTATTTACGACACCTAATAGATAATATCTATAACCACGTCCGTAAAAGATGCACGTGGCTGAGTTCCTCGAGAAAGAAAACACCATAAAGTGTATTTCTGTTTACGAAGTAATTATCATTAAAACACTTAAGTCGCTTATTTTCCTAGTTTCGATGTTCAGACCGATATCGACAATATTTCGATACACAAAACTTTCAAGGCAAGTAATAAATAACCCACCCCCTTTTGCACCTACATTCGTATTTTCTATGAGAAACAAAACGATAGAGACGTCACAGAAACGATTAAACGTGTATAAAAAGTCTGACGAAAATGAGCTCGGATTCATTCAATTTTTATCATTTGATGTGCAAGCATACATTTTATTAGCTGTACCCAGTTATATAATCTGTACCTTTCCTAAACGCTCCTCCTAAACGACGTCTATCCTACAATACCTCCTATCCTCGACGGTGTCAACGTCTCGACGCCCAACTTCCTGCCATCCTACTCCCTACGTCTCGAACGCTGTCACATTCCTCACCATCTAAGTATTTCCTACCGTACACTCATTTCGACGCTCAACGTCCCACGCCTTATTTCCGACACTTTGCCGTCCATAATTATTTCCTTCATAATATCACGTCCCGCACCACCTACTTAATTCTACCGTATATCTGTCCCAATACAGTACCGTATTAAATACCTTCCCTTCCATCACGACGCTAGACGTCTCGACGATGGACGCCTCGACGCCCAACCCTGCGACGTACTTACATCGACGCCTTCCACGACGCTAGATGAAATTAGTACATAATTTAATGTGTATTTTCAATGGTGAGTCAAAAGATTTATTTAACCTTCTTTGAGATACCACCCCGATTTCGTTTAAGGGCGGCCTGACATTTGCTGTAAAATATTATCAATTTAACCAATAAACCACATGGCCTTCAGGTCATACACCCCGAAAGATAGAATAACATCTGTTTACGATGGGTGAAATTTGGAGTATTTTAATAGAAATAATAAAAATCAATATTAAGAAATATACAGGGTTATATTAAGTTATTTCAATAGAAATTATAATAATCAATATTAAGAAATATACAGGGTTATATTAAGTTATTTCAATAGAAATTATAATAATCAATATTAAAATACATGCAGGGTTGTATTAAGTCATATCAATAGAAATTATAAAGATCAATATTTTGGAAATATACAGGGTTGTGCTATCTTGGATAAATTGTACAAACCAAGATGGTAAAATTTAATAGTAAGTTAACCAACTGGCGAATACGCTGTTCGTTAGCTCAAGGGGGGACACCTATACGCTAAGCAACCCGTTCTACAAGGTTTGAAACAAAGTATATGTGAAATCAACATAGTAAGGTAATCAACTGGCGAAATGGCGCTGTTTATGACTTCCGGTGGTCATCACCTCTATACTCATCGTAATATTTACCTAAGAGGGTGCAACCTGTATATATCTACAATAGAATCAAATCAACATCAACTCTATAGTTAATCAACTGGCGAATTGGCGCTGTTCGTTAACTTCATTGGTCATCAACTTAGATAAAAATATAAACAACAACATAATAGTTAATCAACTGGCGAATTGGCGCTGTTCATTAACTCCGATGGTCATCAACCTAAATCAGAATATAAACACTTTAGTTAATCAACTGGCGAATTGACGCTGTTTGTTAACTCTGTTGGTCATCAACCTAAATAGGATATAATATATATTGATAGCAAATGAATACGGTCTGCGTTTGAACGGGACTCAAGTGAGATCTCAGTAAATAGTAACAATTGTAATATACTTTGCTAATTATTGCATCAAATTTAAGTATGACAAAAATAAATAGAGTTTAAATATGAATTTGTATGTTTTATTTATCAATTTGCACCAAACTTTGCATCGAATTCTGGATTACTTTAATTAACATTATCACAACGTGGGTACACAAATTATCAATCAATTAACTAGACGATCACTTTTACTACTAGAGGAAAAAAGGCCAATTACAGTAAGTATAGAATTTAAAGTAAAGTAAAACTTGTGAGGTAATTAATAACATTTCAAAGAGAGTAAAATAACGAATAAATCTAAAAGAAGAAGGGGCCTGGGGACGGGCCGTTACATTATTGAACAATTTCTCTTATCAAAATGTTCCATATTCTTATAAAAGTAAAAATTACTTTTAATTTGTCTATAATTAGTTCATAGATAATTTAATGCTAATCTTGATTTTATTTTCAGAAAAACTAAGAGATTTCTTTAGTTTACAAATTGTATTTTATTCTCTATTAATAAAATAAAGCTTCTACTATTATATTTGAACTCCGGTGTTTGAAAAAAATCGAAATAAGGTATTTTATCTCACTTCAATTCCCCTTAACAAGCCAATCAATCCTCAATTTTTTTTAAATAAAAAAACCCTTTCAAATGAAGCGAGTTCTCTTAATATTTACAAAAATTGAGGAAGCAGCTGTATATATACGTATATATAATTTATGTCATAAAAAGTGAGATACGAGGTTTTTCATCTTAACCTCAAATAACAGAGTATATATGGAGGAATAAAAAAATCACCTTTGCAGTATATTCATATATTTATATCAATTTGACGTTTTTTACAGTATTACTACAATAGTTATGATGGTTTCATTATACTACATGGTACGGATACTTTGGGTTATACTGCAGCAGCCTTATCTTTCATGTTTGAGGGCCTACAAAAGCCAGTAATTGTTACAGGATCTCAAGTAAGTATTTGTGTATATACTTAAATTCAAAATTGCCAAAAGGTAGTTTTTAAAAAATAATTTATTTAAAATAAAACCCGTGTTACAAAATAAAGGTTGTTTAATAAACAAAATCGGATTCTAGACTGAATGTAATTAAATGAAATAGAACAAATCTGTTATAAAAGTGCAAATGTGAATAAACTATAAAATGTCTATTAAGCAAACTGACACTTGTGTCTATGGGAAGCAAAGGTTATTGTTCTTGACGGCTTCTTGATATTGTATACTATAACTTATATATATTTCAACGTCATTTTCAGATACCGATATACGAAAGCAGAAGTGACGCAAAAGATAATTTTACGAAATCACTGGTCATCGCTGGATCTTTTGACATTCCCGAGGTATGCGTATTCTTTGCTAACAAATTATTTAGAGGAAATCGAGTAACCAAAATTAATACAGACATGCTAGATGCTTTCGATTCGCCGAATTATCATTCTTTGGTAGATGTTGGTATAAGTTTTAAAAGTAAGTAGAGATACGTTTTATTTTTGATGAAGTGGGTACTGCTGACTTGCTATGCTGCACTACAAGCAGTGGCTTCCGAAATGCAACTCATGAAATAATTTTTAGTTTTATACATATGCATTTGGCCCCACTTGAACTGATGTCAGGGACAGATACTTTAGTTTTGGCTGTTTAAATAATACATAAATTAGAATTCCTGTTTTTTAGTGTATGAACATTATATCAAGAAAGTTGATTACAACCAGAGTTTTACTGCTTATACCAATTTAAATCCGAACGTTGCAGTTTTGTACTTCTTTCCAACTATAAACGCTGAAATGGTTAGTATTTTTATTAAATTAGAACAACAAAGCATTATTATCAACTTGATCTTTTCCCTTTGGCAGAATAGTGTTAGGATAATTTCATATTTCTATTTGTTTAAAATATATTCAATATTACATTCAATATATATTTAACTATACTAATATTCGACTACAGCCGCTCCTGTAGTTTGTACTATCTCAGCCGATAAGGTAGTTCTCTAACAGATAAGTACGTCATGTGCGTCAGCTATTCTTAATTGGTAAAAAATTACCTCGTCAGCTTTAAGCCCGTTTGGCGGATCATTATTGTTCAGTGTCAAACAAACAACATTAAAAAGAGACGCTGTGTCCGCCATTATGTATATATTGGTTAAAAATTACTACGTCAGCCTCAAGCTGCTTAAACGGTTTATAATATAACATATGCTTCTTTCTAACAATAAAAAGGGACGTACTTTTAAATAAATAAAAATTCTATTATTTTAGCTAGAATCATTTTTAAGAACATCTGTTGAGGGAGTAGTCATTCAAAGTTTCGGAACTGGAAATATTCCGTCAGAAAGAAAAGATATTCTGAAAGTTCTCAAAGAAGCCATCAACAGAAATACGTTGATTGTAAACATAACACAATGTGCCAGGGGTACTGTGATTTCTTCATATGAATCTGGAAAGGTTAGTTTAAACGGTTTATTATTTAAAAATTATGAATTTTTTACATCGTAGATTGCAAGTCGAAATCCTAAAGGTCAGAATTATTTTAAACAAATCTCAAAAATCCCCATGCGAATTATTAAAACCATCACCGAACCTCTAAGGTGAAAACACATACTTGAAGATTTGAAACAAAGGTTGTCGCAGCTGGAAACCCGTTGCTTTGCATCACCCAGTAGATATACGACACCGTGCAAATATATATAAGAGAAGAAGGTTTAGTGCGGTGAAAAAATATAAAAGATAAAAGGATTATTGGGCAGATACCGCATATCTTAAAGTTGTCCAAAGTAGATTAAGAAAAAATGGGAGAACCAGAGGTCCTATTGGTTAATTTGGGTTGGATTCCTTGTTAAAAAGAATCTAATTTAATAGATTTTTTATGTTTGGATAACTAATCATACAGGCTGTTTAAAAATAAGGTTTAAAATAAGATTGAGAAAACTGTAAAAATCTTTTTTTTTTATGGAAATCCCCATTTTTCTTATTTTGTAATATTTGGTATCAAAACATCTATAAATTCCTTGCATAAAAATCTTGCGATATAACAATTTACCTTTGTTCAATTCTGGATATTAAAGAAGATATTATAAGGTGTTAAAGTAAAAATAAAATGAAATGTCCACTGTTATTATTTGGCGTCAAATATTTCAATAAAAAATAATAACTGATGTAGATGTATCTATTTTAATACCATGTATGTTCTTTAATATCAAAAATTGAATTAACGTAAATTGTGTTATATTACAATACTTTTATAGAGTAGCTCTGTATTCTATTATTAATGGACTATCCTGTAAACAACTTTATACAAGGTTACCTTTATTTTAGATGCCAAATACTACAAAATAAGAAAAATGGGTGTTTCCATTTGAAAAATCGATTTTTGGCAGTTTTCTTAATATCATTTTAAACCTTAAACCCAAGGAATCCAACCCGAAGTAAGATATAAAGGCTTCTTTATAGAACTAATTGATATTATATTAAGGCTTGCCAACGTCATTTTTGATATAAAAACTGAAATATGTAAAATCGTTTTGACTTAGGCATATGATATGATACATAAAACCTGTCCAGAATCCGAAGTAGAATTCAAAATTGTAATAATAATAGAATGCCGTATTTAAAATAAGCGACTTAAGGTCTATTTCCGGTCAACCGGAATTGCTTAAAAGGCCCGAAGACATCTTGCAAGTTTCCAGATTTGAATTTTTTCCTACATCCAGTTTCTGAGATATCGATCGATGCAGTTCCTGGTGATCCACCATGTATATTCTGGTCCAAGAATACAAAATAAATTGTTTTTATTAGTTTTTATTTTTCTGAATATGTTATTTTTAGTTCATGAGATATAACCATTGTAAGTTTTTAAATTATCAGCCATATGTGGTATGATTCCAAAGAAACTTTTGAATATTAGAATGAACGACAACAAACAACTTTAGATTATTTATAAAAATCATCACAGAGGAGATAAAACTCTTATTTTTGGTACAATTGTAATAGACATAATTTCAACTTTTTTTTATAAAAATTTACCCTAACCACTTTGACCAAATTTTGGAATTTTGGATGTGTATGTAGAAAAAATATAGATTCAAACTGTTTTATTTAAAAAGTTTTAACCTAATATTTTGGGAATGCCACCCCATTCTCCCTCTATGGGATGTGGTGGGGGGTAAGATTTTTATAGAAAAGCGTTGTAAATCTGGTTTATTGTAAAATGTCAAAAATTAAATTTTTATCTTACCTGTTAATTTTTTAATTGCAAAGATATGGAAAAATCGTAGTTTTTTTATAGGATTTCCTATTTATGAGAGAATACATCCATATTCCTAGTTCGCTCTCAATATCTCGACCCAAACTGTTCTAGCCACAAGAGTGATTTTGATTTGAATTCAGTGTTTAGAGTTAAATAAACTGTTGTATTTTATGATTATTCTCGTATCACTAAATTGTAGATTTCATACTTAATTTACATTTGGCAACTGAGCGAAGGTTCAGAATTGTAGGATTAGTGCGAACAAAATTGTATAAACTGGTTCGAGATTGTATCAATCTTCTAATGGTTCAGGATTACACTGATTCAGTAAATTCTTTAGAAAAATTACATTGTTTTAATGAAATATTCAGAATATACATTTCACATTACAGATAAAGAGGCCCTATATATATAACGCACGACATTGCCCCCTCCTTAACTAACAATTCCTCCTGCAACTAAAACAGAATGGTTGTATCTGCAACTTGACCCTCTTTTACGGTTTTCATTTGCTTAGAAGTAATAAGGAACGGTCTTCGATGTAATCTGGACATTAAGCGAACAGCTGCACACTAGTGTTTCTACTTTTGTATCTTGGAAGATTATTTTGAATGCTTCTCAAATTCATAGCAGGTTTGACAAGTTTAATTCAATGTTTTTATTGTTGCAGGTATTAGATGAAATTGGGATTGTTTCTGGAAAAGATATGACCGTAGAAGCTGCACTCACGAAATTAGCTTACGTTTTAGGATTACAAGAACTGACATTTATGCAAAAAGTTATGGTAATAATTTAAATTAGAAGAGATAGTAAAAAGGACTTATATTGACTGTTACAGATAACGAATATCATTGACAATATGTTAACTGTTATTTTAACCGGGAGGGCTGGTCGTTAAAAAAAGTCTAGAGATAGGGTTAAGAAGTGGGCATTTTATATAAATGATTGTCGAAGATATATTATTTTAATTTTTGCATGAGTACCTATTAGAATGTAATTTGAACACTACTGATAGGGTTAAAACAAAAAAAAATGCATCTAAACGTTGCCACGTTCAGTGTAAGTTTGTAACGTGTTATATTACTATTGTGTTTTAATTCTAGGATATGAGAAGGAAATTTTAATTAAACTTTTATTTTTTAGCTCATGAAAACTAATTTGAGAGGAGAGATGACTCCGTGAGAATTTCTGCAATAGAAACAAAAATAATTTATTTTATATTAAAAAAAAAACGATCTACAATCATAATCATGTATTGAAAACTATTCTTTAAAAAAAAAAAAAGAAAACTTTCAAATATTTACCTATATGTATACAAATATTTCCGAGTTCTGTTATTTGACACCAAGCAAAATGATTCAAGTTTGTAGGTTATTTCCATTTCCAAACAGAAAATAACAAAAATCAAATAAAAATCTAATAAAATTTTCTGAAAAAGTATTTTTTTTATATACAGTATGGTTCAAATGAAAGGAATTAATTCATTATAAAGCAAGTAGTTGGTTTTTCGAAAAAATGCTCGTACAGGTCAATTTTGTTTACTCAAAGCGCAATTTTTTAAGTAGAATTCAATTTTCCCCCTCTTCCCATTTTTGGGTAATGACGTCATTGACAATTTTTTTAAATAGTAACCCTAATTTTTTTTCTTGATTTTGTTAGATCTTGCAATTTCCTACTCGGAAACATAATATTTGAAATATCTTACATAACAATTTTTTTTGAATAAAAGTAATTTAAAGATCAGACACTTAAATTTTATTTTATTTTGAGAACACAATAAATGAGTAAACAATAATTATTTGTAATTAAGTGCATAATTAAACAAAATAATAATATTATTATTAATAATAATAATAATAATAATAATAATAATAATAATAATAATAATAATAATAATAATAATAATAATAATAATAAAGAATTTGTGAAATTGTCATTAAATTCTTTTTATTATTATTATTATTATTATTATTTTAGATGAAGCACTTAATTACAAATAATCTTTTATTTATTTATTGTGTTTCAAAATAAAATAAAATTTATGTATCTGATCTTTAAATGACTTTTATTCAAAAAAAAATATTATGTCAGATATTTCAAATATTATGTTTCCGAGTAGAAAATTGCAACATCTATCAAAATCAAGAAAAAAAATTGAGGTTACTATTTAAAAAAAATGCCAATGACGTCACTGCCCAAAAATGGGAAGTGGGGGAAAATTGAATTCTATTTAAAAAATTGCGCTTTGAGTAAACAAAATTGACCTGTCCGAGCATTTTTTCGAAAAACCAACTGCTTCCAATATAATAAATTTATTCCTCTCATTTGAACCATACTGTATATAATTTCCACAAAAAAAAGTATTCGCTAGTTATATGTATAGAATTAGCATAGTAAATATTTTTTATCTCTAGCTTAGTCAGCATTTAAAAAGTTATAAATATATGTTAACTTGTTTATTACACAATTAACGTTCGCATCGTGCTAACAGTGATTTTTCGGTAGACTTTGGCAGTTTTAACGCCTTCAGTGCGAATCGAACTTTCCATCAGCTACAATCAGTCCATTGGGGAACCTTCCGTAGAGAAGTCAGACGAATTCGAGAAAAGGAACCAGGATCTACAGCATCCATCGAGGAACTATAAGTGCCAAAATCCTTTTTTGCCTCTCCTCTTTCATCGAGAAATAGGAAAGATAGTAATATTAAGTTTTGATTTTAAAAAAGAAAGAATATATAAGTTATATTGAATATTAATTTTGAATTTTGAAAATATTAATATTGAATATTGAAAAGAATATATCTAAGTTATTTATATTGCATTTATTTTAAAATATTTATATGACAGAATTTGATAAAATTATAGAAAGTTTTAATAAGATTTCTTTAGAAGATAATAAAGATAATAAAATAGAAATGGCTCCACAAGTAGCTAATATTAATTGGAGTTTCTTTAAATCCAAATTAAACAATATTAAACCTTATGACGGGGATAGTAATACATTAAATAAATTTATCAGTAGATGTGATGCACTTTTTCAAAGTTATGCTGATCTGAATAATGATCAATTAAATGCTCATATTTTTGAATGCATCCAAGAAAAACTTATTGATAAAGCCGAATTAAATGTAGGAAACAGAACAGAGTTACAAACCTGGGATGATTTAAAAAATGCTCTTGTTCAATGCTTTTCAGACAGAAGAGATCTGGATTGCCTTGTGCAAGAACTAACTAGAAACTACCCTTATAAAAACGAACATTTATTAGACTTCGGTAGTCGAATACAGTTATTAATGAGTACAGTGATTCAAAGAATCAGTAATGATGTTACATTATCAATAAACGATAAAATTTGTCAAACAAACCACCATAAAAAGACATCTTTAAATACATTTATTGCGGGTTGTCCACCAATTTTGAAAAATAATTTACATTTAAAAAAGCCAGCTACTTTAGAAGACGCTATGACTTATGTCACAGAATTTGAAAATTTCGAGAAATTATATGGCAATATTGAACATAAACAAATGCCAAAAATTAATGTTAATCATAATAATCAAAATATAAAACCTAATAATAATTTCTTAAACACGAAACAGCAAACTAATCAAAAGTTTTATCCTTTTACAAATCAAAATAATAATTCTAGATTTTACCCTAATAATAATTATAATTATCATAGTTATCCAAGATTTAATAATCCTAATAATAATCAACAATTTTCAAAACTTATATTTCCACGACAACCAATACATGTTCAACCAATTCCAGAAATAAATAAAAAATATTTCACCAATCGTCAAGTTTTTGGGGAAAATCTAAGACCTCAAAATGTTTTTAAACCCAATCAAATTAATTCAAATCAATTACCCAAACCAGAACCTATGTCAACCACCTCTCGAAACCCATCACTTATGAGAAACGTAAATTATAATCAAAGACAAAACTATTTTCAAAATAATAAAAAACCAAATTTTTCATTTGAAGAATTAAATAATACACAAACAAATTTGAATAAAAGTTTTGATGATACTGTTTATCAAAACTATGTTTTAGAAAATGAATGTGAAATATACGCGGATGAACCGTACGAAAATTATGATAATAATCAACAATATAATTATAAAAATAAATCAGAAACTAAAATGCAACAAGTTGGAAATTTTCGGAAAGCCAGCCTTTCAGAAACAATTACATAATAGAAATGAATAATTATAATATAAATAATCCACTACCATATGTAGAAATTAAAAATCCTCCAATCAAACTGCTTATTGACAAATCAATAATTAAACCATTCATTATTGAACAATATTTTCCTGACACAATTTATCACGCAAATATAACATTGAAAACATCACTGGGGAGTAAACAGATCCGATTTCAGTCAGAATACTCAGCATTCGCAGAATTTAATTGCCAGTACGTGATTAATTTCATTGTATATGATTTTCATGACTTTTTTGATGGTGTTATTGGACTTACTGACCTAGTTAACATGAACTTAAATATAGATTTAATAAACAAGAAATTAATAGGCCCGTATGTTGAAATTCCTTTTAAATATAGACAACCAAATGATATAAATTTTTCGTTTACCGTTAATGGTAAAGAATCTCTTCTAAAAAAATTAGAATGATAACAACCGCAAAAAACGGATTTGCTTTAATTGAAGCTCAAAATAATATAGATAAAAGTATTTCTATTAAATTAAATAATCCTATTTTAGCTAAACAATTCCAAAATTCTGAGCATGAACTATACAAATCTGAATGTTTTAAAAATAAATTTAAAAAAACTAAAAAATCGAAAAGTAAAGAAAGTAAAGCAAATATTTCAAAATTAAATAGAACGAGTCATATGAACTCTAAAGAAAAAATTAAGGTAACGAAATCCGTAGAAGATATTTGTCAAGAAACAGACCTATATAATCTTTTTGAATTGGAAAATACTACTAATAATAATAATAATAATAATTTTCAAATCGATACTAATTTAAAAAATAATTTAAGAAACGATGTATCATTTCAAAATATAATCGATACTAATTCACATAAAAATAATTTGACAAACTATGAGTCACCTCAAAATATAATAGATGAACTTGATGATGGGAAACTTTCTAAAATAAATCCATATGATAAAAAAGAATGTTCATTGTTGCATACTAATATTAAAATAAATCGAGCAAATATTCGTAATAAAAAAAATAAATTTTTATCATCAAATAGTATTAGAACCAAAATGAAAAATCCTGGAACCTACAAATGTTATCGAAAGAGAATAAAATTTAAAAACTTTACAAACTCGGATAGGAAAAGAGTAAGATTTAAAAACTGAACATTAATAATTTAGTTTTAATAGAAATAAACATAATTTTAATTAATTCATATTTCGGAACGTAGTTTAAACTCTTATAAAAATCAAACTTTTATTACCTCCAATTGTAATCAAAGAATCAATAAATAATCAAGTAAGAATAGAAAAGAGTTTTGAAAACTCTAGAATAAATTATTAATTTTGTTAAAAATTATATTGATCCAAAAGTAACATATGCCTTATATTTTTAAAAATCAAAATTTACCTGAAACATTTATAATTACAGTGCAAAATAATTTTAAACATTCTGCATTTAAATTTATACATTGTACAAAATTTTTGACAGACATTTTAACAACTGATGAACAAAAAACTAAAATTGAATATTACCATATTTATAAATCGGGACATAGAGGCATTAATGAAGTAAATACAGCCTTGAGTTCTAGATATTATTGGCCAAAAATGATGGAAGATATTAAATATTATATAAATAATTGTGAAACTTGTCAAAAAAATAAATATGATAGAAATCCTCCAATAGTAAAATTTAATTTAACGCCTACAGCCACAAAACTATTTGAACATATACATATTGACGTATTTAAAATTTCTAATCAATCATATTTAACTATTATTGATTCATTTTCAAGATATGGTCAGGCATATCCTATGAAAAGTATAACAGGAATAAATGTAGTAGATAATTTATTAAATTTTGTAACCCATCATGGATTACCTCAAAAAATTACAACATATAGTGGCACTGAATTCAAAAATTATGATTTAGAAGATTTTTGTAAATTACATCATATTGAACTTCATTATACTACTGCTAAAAATAGCAATTCAAATTCACCTGTAGAACGTTTTCATTCAAGTTTAATTGAACATTTTAGATGTCTCAAAGAAGAAAATAATGATCTAACCCCTGATCAATTAATAAAACATGCTATATTAGCCTATAATAATTCCGTACATTCCGTAACAAAATTCACTCCTTATCAAATAATTAAAGAACATATTAATAATGAAGATCCTTTTGATTTAAAAGATCACCTTATAATTTCA